CAATTTTTCCCATAATGCAAAGCAAAGTTGTGTTCTGAGGAATCTCTTGTTTCATAAATGTTTAGGCTACTTCCGTTTTAAGTGATGGTGTATTGGCGAAGCCATTCGAAGGTCGGCCCCACCAGAAAACGATGTTAAAATCCTCTTCACCAGCTGTCGATCGGCTCTACTGTAGCATTCTTGTTGACGCTATTTCCGAGGCAATCTGCTTCCATCTCATCTTGATGGACCTCCTCAGAACAGGGTAACATTGTTATTTTGGATTCATAAGTAGAGTTTCGAGACCACAAATCAATCAATCCATGTGATGAGATGTAACCACCCAATTCTGTTCAAAATGGTGAAGGTTTGACAAGTGAATTTTTCCAGCTAGTCGGAAAAGCCTAATTATGAACGAAAAATAGGTGATGTAGTCGATTTTCATATGATATTGCGCTGTCTCTCCTTCCGTCCTGGCCTATGCACCCATCCCGCATCCTCGTGGCACACCTTCACCAACACACTTTCCCACCTGCTTGTTGCCTACTCCTGCTCGGGCCCTATTCACACTCGCCACTGTGCACGGCAATGTCGATCCGAGTCCGCCATTTTTGTCCGTCATCCTCCTCCTCCTCCTTCTTCGAGTCCCGTCACAGTCCCCCGCTTGCCTCACAGGTCCGATTGCTGACTCTATTTTCATACAATTCAAGTGGACATCTGCTCTTTAACACCCCCACATGTCTTTATATGCATTCTTTGGAGTACCCGTTCGTGAGGCAAATCAGAGCCGGCTTGTTCGAATCTTCCTGCCACAACTGCATGTTGATCAAACTCTTCTCTTCATTGCCATCTTCAGTCTGTAGTTGGGATGCCACGTTTACTCCAGCCTCAGTCAACAAGCCCCTAAAGTCTGCATTCTCAATTGGCATGGCAACCTAACTTGAGGCTGCAGATTCTCGTATCATTGCAGAGTGCAGTTCGTGGTCAAGCCTTCACTTCATGTACCACGTCCATCGTCAAACTGCTCTGCCAATAGGCACCAACTTGCGATGGTCTAAGCCACATCTCTCGCTCTTCCATTCCTACTAACAAGTCTACGACTTTCTTGTGCCTAAGTCTCTTGCATGCCGACCTTCAAATGTGACATTTCTACTTTAGTTGAATAGGCTCCCTGTAGACTTCCGAATGTTCCGCTCTAGTCTCGTTGCGATTTCTGTTCCTCAACTCAAAAATGTCACCTTGATCGTGTCGTCTTCTTTTTGCTGATCGGCTGTTGCCTCATCTCTTCGAGTCTGCTTGTGCATGTAGAAAAACTGGTTTTAGAAGAATTCCTTAGGACATTCATGTTGGAGTACTTTTCATTTCGTTTTAAGAGGCGAATGAAAGGGATTTGTAAGTTGGTTTCACAGGTCAAACAACTTCTATACAACAAAAAGAGACTGCGACCATACAGAAGGTGACACCATCTTCGTCTACATACCTTCCATGTAGAGACAGCCAACCAGCTCATGGTTGGGAACAGGAAAAGGGTATGAAACACTGAATTGGGTTGTAGCCGGCCGGTCACTTTTCCCGTTCATGAGGCAAATCAGAGCCGGTTTGTTCACATCTTCATCCCACAACTCCATGTTCATCAAACTCTTCTCTTTATTGCCATCTTCAGTCTGTAGTTGTGATGAGAGCGAAAATTGAGGATTATTCCAGAACGCGATTTTTTTCCGAATAGTCTCTACTTGACTGTCCAATTTGACAGCATGATCCCAGCATCCGGGAAAGCAAGTCACCTCCATTTTTTATTTAATTCTGTACCAGGTTGGGTCAAAAAGTTGTTGTTGTCATGCCACCAAAGTGCAGCAGTGACTTCTCGAATTCTTTCTCCATTCTGCTTGTGTAGAAATTTGTCAAAGGAGGTGAGATTGGAGATCCTATCGGTAGTCAAAATACGTGGTGCTTATTGTCCGGTTGATCTGTCGCCTTTATGAATTCTCCGTATCCGCTTCGCTTCCAGGATATTCCCCTCTTCCTGTGAGATCTACAACAGAGAGTTGTCTGCCTTCTCGCCTGAGATGTTCGTCGACATGGATGGTACGTCAAAACTTGATAAAATTTCCGTACCTGGCAGTCCAACCGTTTGGATTCTTTAAAAAAAGTTCGTGAGTTCTTCACCAAATTCAGAGTTTAACCACTCAAGGAAAAGCATAACTGGAGCTACTTAATATCGTACGTCTGGTTTGGTTGATCAGCTTAATCTAACATTTTGGGACGAATGTGAGCGGAGTTAGAAGAGATCCAAAACTAGAGTTGAAATCTTAAAGTCAGTGATTATTAGGAGTACGCGACTAG